GAGTTGTACATTGTGTGCAGTCAATTTAACAGTTTATGAACTCATTATGTTTGTCCACAGCTTGAAATTTCCTCGCGTCTAGAATGGCCTCACACTCCGTACGTGTTCTAGTGTTATGAAAACGTGAAATTTTAAATTACTCCGTTGATGTTCACGGCGAATCAGAAGTCAGCTGGTGGCTGAAAAATGTACCATGACACCTTAATACAACTGTAGAACGTGCAGTCAAAAGTGTATTGCTGAAGTACTTACTGTCAGAGTTTCTATTTATAAAAACCTATTCAGACCAGTTCTGTTTAGCTCTTTGGTCATATTGATGATTTCAGAATAAGAATAATTTCAGAATAAGAATAATTTTCTAAACATCACGCAAATTTTGGAAATTCACAGAAACCCTTCTTTTTTTCATCGAGAATTGAACCAGTTAAAACTTCCGTTCATAGAAAACTGACAGCACGGCTATGAATGCTAAAAGAGACTGAAAATTCATTTACAATAGCTGGGCTATACCTAACTTAAAACAATAAACACTAACTAAAACAACTTACAATCGAAACGTTGGAAATTAATGGTACTTTCACAAAGGACACATACGTATTTTCCTTTAATGAAATCAGTAATAAACGTATTCTATCCGGCGTTGTGTTGAGGAAGTTGCTCAGTACAGCTACCGACGATTAGGCTGCTTGCTGGGAAAAATTGGCGCGATTGAAAAAAAATCGAAACCGATTTAGTAACTATTTGAATTCATTTACTTTGTTTACATAGAAAGTTGGTTGGTCACTGAAGCCAGATCGACAAAGCATAGACTTCTCAGGCGGAACAACAACTCTGCATCCTGTTGCTTCAGTCTTGGCGGCTTCTACAACTAATTACGAGCGATCTGAGTCATAAACTTTAATTGGTGTGATACATTTTGTGGTTCTCAGCGATCAGTTGTGCCGAAAATAACAGCACGAAAACAAGGAAGAGGAACAGTTGAGCTTACACGGGGCGATTGAGAGTGGCCAGTGCATGAGCGAGGTTGTCAAACAAGTGAACGATTCATAATTTTCGATTAACATTCACCAGCTCGTTTGAACCATGAATGCAACGGTAAAAACAGAACAGACAACAGAACAGAACAGAGCAGACAACTTCATTGATGAACCATTAGCATCGTTCTATGTTCGTGTTGTCTTTTTTGCCTTCATTGTGCTAGGGAGTGTACTTGGAAATGCCGTGGTGTGTAAATCCATTTTGTCGTTACCTACTCGTCAACTTCTATTTTCTTATTACTTGGTGACCAATCTCGCTGTCGCTGAAACCATCAGCTCACTTTGTTTCCCGTTCTACTTCGTTTATGACTGGTTGAATCATTGGCCTTTTGGTGACGTCGCCTGTAAGCTGGTGTTTCCCATTCAAATGACGGCCATGTTTGTGGAGACTTATACGCTAGCTTTCATTGCGGCTTACAGATATCGAGTGATAGTCTCCAGTTGCCACCAGTTAGCCTCTCGTTCGCTAGCCAGAGTGTTGCTAGTACTTGGTTTGTTGTGGGTTGCCGCTTTGATAGTTGTGCTGCCAGTTGGAGTGATGCACGCCGAGATCAAGCTCCCGTCTGAACAAAACCACTGTAGAGCCCTGTTCCCTGGTGATACATCGCAAGATGCCTCAAGACACACTAAATACTCTATTGCTCGTTTCATCGTGAGTTTTGTTGTTCCGTATCTCATTATCTCGATATCGTACGTTGCTGTGGCTGTCAAGATCAAAACCCACGTGACTGAGTTAAATGCAACGCGCACAAATGGTGTAACCGGAGAGGATCTACCGCCTCAAAATGGACATGCCCGATTCATCGAACTAGAAACAATGGAAGGGAATGCTTGGGTGCAGAACGAAAACGGAAAGAAAACCAAAGCAAAACGTCAAACTGGTAAAGTTGGATGTCCAAGGCACGCCTTGCCTCCCGTCCAAGCCGTCCGAACAAGAGATGATTGCAGTAGTGTCATGAACTTCGAAGTGGACATTCTCAGAATGATCTATTTGATCATACTTACTTTTATTGTTTGTTATATTCCTATCCAGGTTGTGTTTATCTACGAACAAGTAAAGGGCGGGCTATCTGATTGGCCATATTACATTATTGTAAGGAGGTATGCGTTCCTTCTGACTTGTCTTCCTGGGGCATTTCATCCTATTCTATATGGAACAATGAGTAAATTTTACGCTAAAGCGTTTGCTACACT